CCCCCCACACACACACACCACCCAGACGACCCGTCGCCCCCCCAAAACCAGAATTTTATTGCAGATTCGGGGTCCTCTCGCCGAGCACAGGAGGACCCCGCCTTCAAAATATATATATATATATATATGTATTTCCAGGCTGTTTTTTTGCCCGTTCGGTATGCCCGGACCACCCACCCGAGCCCCGCCCGGCCGGGCGGCGTCCGTACTCAGGTTATTTATTTATTTTTTTTAGCTGGGGAGGAAGGGGTCGACATGCGCAGGCGACCCGCGCGCCCCAAACGTCGGGGCGCGCCTCTGCTTGGAGGGGCACAAACTCGGCCGTGGGGTAGCGGTCGGCCTCCTCGGCTGCGGCCGAGGCTGTGGGATTCGCAGCCGAGGGTGTCACGTAGCAGCAGGGCCTTCCGCTCACTTACAAACAGAAACACGGCCGCTGAGCTTGTTATGTAGGTGGGGGAGGCACAGGTATCATTCCCTGGCATTTTGTTTCGACACAGTAGTTACGCTTTCTGTCCTTCAGAGCTAGGTCTGTCACACCAATTTGGCTGCAGGTGCCAGGCCCAAAAAAAAACAAAAAAATGTGTCCTCGTCGTTTCTGTTTCTATTGGCACGCACCAAAATCCAAGTCTGGAAAAAGAGGTTTGGTGGTACTTGTGGTTTGAAGCACCAGTGCTTGAGGCAGCACCTATGTGGAAATGCTTGTTTATACAAGCCTGTGCATAGGGTCAACCTACATTAACTATTGTGTGATCGTATATGTGTGTCGATATTTTGGTGTATTCGAGCACCTATGAAGGACATGTGCAACACGTCGAGTGCGCACTGCACGCGTTGAAGGATGTGGGTTTCAACGTTGCTCCGGGAAGTGTTAGTTCTTCCTGACGAAGAATTCATTCCTGGGTCACGTGGTTACTAACAGTGGGTTAAAGCCGGGGCCTTGGAAAGTGCAAGCCGTGCGGGATGCGCCGGTGCTAACATCGCTTACACAAGTTCGTGTGTTCGTGGGACTGACATCGTACTATAGGAGGTTTATCAGCGGGTTTGCAGCTATTGCGGGACCCCTCACGAATTTACTGAAGAACGACCAACCGTTGCTCTGGACCCCACACTGCGATCAA